TATATATATATATATATACACACACAATGGAAATTATCCACCTTCCAAAAAAGAATGAAATCTTGCCATTTGCAATGAAATGGATGGAAGGAGCTAGAGAATACAATCCTAAGCCAGTCAGTCAGAGAAAAACAAATACCATATAATTTCACTCATCTGTGGAACTTAAGAAAAAACCAAATTAGCAAAGGGCTCAAACTCACAAACTGTGAGATCATGACCTGACCCAAATTTGGCCGTTTAGCTGACTGAGCCACCCAGGCACCCCTGACTCTTTTGTTTTTTAATTTAGTGATTCATCACTTATATATAACACCCAGTGCCCATCATAACAAATGTTCTCCTTAATGCCCATCACCCATTTAGCCCATCCCCCACCCACCTCCTTCCATCGACCCTCAGTCTATTCTCTATTGTTAAGAGTCTCTTATGGTTTGCTTCCCTCTCTCTCTCTCATTTTTTTTCCTTCTCATATGTGCATCTGTTTTCTCCCTTAAATTCCACATATGAGTGAAATCATAGGGTATTTGTCTTTCTCTGACTGACTTACTTCACTTAGCATAATACACTCTAATTCTATCCACATCACTGTAAATGGCAAGATTTCATTCTTTTTGATGGCTGAGTAATATTCTGTTGTGTGTGTGTATTTGTGTGTGTGTGAGTGTACACAATTTACAGACTTACTTATAGAGAACAGACTCTTCTTTACAGACTTTTAATTGTAGAGAACAAACTGTTGGCTACTAGAGGGGAGGGGAGCGGGGGGGGGTAGGTGAAATAGGTGATGGGGATTAGGGAGTGCACTTGTCACAATGAGCACTGGGTGATGTATGGAATTGCTGAATTACTATGTTGTACACCTGAAACTAATATAACACCGTATGTTAACTAACTGGAATTAAAATTAAAACTTAAATATATATATATATATATAGAGAGAGAGAGAGAGAGAGATATATCATCTATCCATATCTATGATAGATATATCATATATATGATAGATATATCTATGATAGATCTATCATAGATAAAGATAGATGATATCTCTTTATGTATAGATATCTATATATCTATATATATCTAGATATCTATCTATCTATATCTATGATAGATCTATCATATATATATAGATTATATATATATAGATGATATCTATGATAGATCTATCTTTCATAGATACAGATAGATAGATATCTAGATATATGATAGATAGATGATATCTCTCTCTCTCTCTATATATATATATATGATATATATAACATATATGCTTGTCTGCATTAAAAAAAAATCAAGGGACGCCTGGGTGCCTCACTCAGTTAAGCATCTGACTCTTGGTTTCGGTTCAGGTCATGATCTCAAGGTTTGTGAGTTTGAGCCCCACGTTGGGCTCTGTACTGGCAGTGTGGAGCCTGCTTGGGACTCTCTTTCTTTCTGCCCCTCCTCTGCTTGTGCTCTTTCTCTCTGTCTCTCTCTCTCTCTCTCTCTGTCAAAAATAACCATTAAAACAAAGTCAAGACAAGAATGTCTGAAGTCTTTACAACTATCCCAAGAAGTCAAGAAGAAGTAAGTGGTAATAAAAATATGGTGGTGGGGAGGGGCTGGAGAAGACCCCTGACATGCTCTAGTGCAGCCCACCTAGCAGGCCAGGGGACACGGGTGGTCCATGTGCGGTGTGGTAGACGTAGGCACTGCCTTTCCCACAGGGAAGCTGCATCATGGAGATCCCCCTCCTCTTCACCCTTTGGCAGCCGGGGCCCTGGCACATGACTTGGACTTTGTCAAAGGATCTATCCACCCACAAGTCTAGAACACATGATGCAGAGTAAGGGAACAGTCCAAAGTTTGAAGGCTTCCTCATGATTCTGTAATCTACGCCCTTGTTGTCCCCCAAATTCCTTTTCCGCTTCAGACAGCCAGAGTGGATTTCTGTTGCTTGCAGTCAAGAACCTTAGCTGGTACACTGGGGTTTCCACATATATGGCCATTTTTCCAACTCAGGTGATGCCTAATATTGTACATTTCTTGTGGCAATCCACTCATGCATTTGTTCAAACAGCTCTGTTCCAGGGACTGAGACTACAGCAATGTTAGAAGTATCATCAGTGTTAAGAGCCCAAATGTCCATCGATGGATGAATGGGTAATGAAGATGTGGTATATATATACAATGGAGTATTACTTGGCAATCAAAAAGAACGAAATCTTGCCATTTGCAACCACGTGGATGGAACCAGAGGGTATTATGCTAAGCGAAATTTGTCAGTCAGAGAAAGACAAATACCATATGACTTTACTCATATGAGGAATTTAAGATACAAAACAGGTGAACATAAGGGAAGGGAAGAGAAGCAAAAATAATATAAAAACAGGGAGGGAGACAAAACATAAGAGACTCCTAACTACAGAGAACAAACTGAGGGTTACTGGAGGGGTTGATACATAGGGGATAAATCACCGGAATCTACTCCCGAAATCATTGCACAATATGCTAACTTGGATGTAAACTAACCAATAAATAAATAAATAGATTAATTAATTAATTAAAAAATTTTTTCAAAGTATCATCAGTGCTCCTCTAGCTTTTTGTGGGGAAAATCCATATTTCAGATTTTCCAATCTGTACTACCTGAACCCTTACTGAAATCAATCTAGTATTCAAAATATGGAACCAACAATCACAGCTGTAAGCACCTTAAGCATGTTAGCTCATGCTGAGGTGAACCAGTTGAATAGTGGGAAGAAGCTCTGGGTCTGTGTTCCATCCTTGGTGCTAGAAAATTGAGACCAGAGGGAATGTTTATATTGAGGGTTTTGCTGCCATCTAGAGGACTTGTCTAGTACTGAACTGTGTGCACCGAAATTCAGAGCCCCAACCTGGAGGCTGCTTTTTTTTTTTTTTTTTTAACATTTATTTATTTTTGAGAGACAGAATGAGACAAAGCATGACTAGAGGAGGGGCAGAGAGAGGAGACACAGAATCTGAAGCAGGCTCCAGGCTCTGAGCTGTCGGCATAAAACCTCTGTTTTATAAGGCAATTAACTAAAACCTCAGATCTCAAATTCAATTCAGTTTCAAATACAAATACAATTTAACTACAGACTCAAAATTCATCTATTTACAAACTATCCCTGAACTATTTGTTTACTTCCCGGTGAGATTTTGACCCACAGGGAAACACACATAGTGTGAGAAAATAGAGTGGAATTCAGAGCGTGCATCAGCTAGGTCAAGTCAAATCTTCCTTGATCTCTGGCACAATTCTAAAGGATCCTTCTTGGTCCTTTAAGCGTCCGACTTCAGCTCAGGTCGTGACCTCGCGGGTCATGGATTCAAGCCCTGTGTCGGGCTCTGTGCTGACAGCTCGGAGCCTGTGGCCTGAGATCAAGTGAAGAGTGACAAAGGCCTTGAATAGATATTTCTCCAAAGATACTCAAATGGGCATTTAGCACACGAAAAGGTGCTCAGGGCACCTGGCTCGCTCAGCTCAGTTGGCAGGGCATGTGACTTTTGATCTTGGGTTGTAAGTTTGAGTCCCACATTGGGTGTAGAGATTACTTTAAAAAATAGTCTTAAAAAAAAAAAAATGTTCAGAGGCACTGGGGTGGCTCAGTCCGTTAAGCGTCTGACTTCGGCTCAGGTCACGATCTTACCGTTCCAGAGTTCAAGCCCCATGTCGGGCTCTGGGCTGACCACTCAGAGCCTGGAGCCTGCTTCAGATTCTGTGTCTCCTTCTCTGTCTCTGCCCCTCCCCCACTCATGCTCTGTATCTCTCTCTCTCTCAAAAATAAACATTAAAAAAATTAAAAATAGGGGCGCCTGGGTGGCGCAGTAGGTTAGGCGTCCGACTTCAGCCAGGTCACGATCTCGCGGTCCGTGAGTTCGAGCCCCGCGTCAGGCTCTGGGCTGATGGCTCGGAGCCTGGAGCCTGTTTCCGATTCTGTGTCTCCCTCTCTCTCTGCCCCTCCCCCGTTCATGCTCTGTCTCTCTCTGTCCCAAAAATAAATAAAAACGTTGAAAAAAATTTATAATAGAAAAAAATTAAAAATAAATAAATAAATAAGATGTTCAACATCACTAGCTATGAGAAAAAGGCAAATGAAAGCTACAATGAGAAACCACTTCTCATAGCCATTAAGATGGCTATTGTTTTTTTAAAAATAAAACCAAAATCAGAAACGAACAAATGTTGATGAGAAACTGGAAGCTTTGTGCATGGCTGGTGGGAATGTAAATTGGTGGAGGCATTGTGGAAAATAGTTTGGCATTTCCTTAAAAAAATGGACATAGAATTACCACATGATTCAGCAACTGCACTCCTAAGTATATATCCCCAAAATATCAAAAGTAAGGACCTAACCAATGTTATCTATCAATGTTCATAGCAGTATTATTCCCAGTAGCCAAAAAGTCGAAACAACCCAAGGATGAACAAAAAGTGATGTCTACATACAATGGAATATTATTCGGCCTTTAAAAAAGAATACAATTCTGACATGCTACAACAGGAATGAATCACCAAGTGAAATAAGCCAGTCACAAAAGGACAAACATTATACAATTCCATTGATATGAGATACCTACAACAGTCAAATTCAGAAAGACAGAAAGTGGAGTAGCCAAGGGGGAGGGGGAGGAGGAACGGGGAGTCAGTGTTTAACGGGGACCGAGTTTCCGTTTGGAAAGATGAAAACGTTCTAGAGTTGGATGGTGATAATAGTTGCGTAACAGCATGAACGCGCTAAATGCCCCTGGATTATACACTGGAAAATGGTTAAAATGGTAAATTTTATGTTATGTGTATTTTACCACACACACACACACACACACACACACACACACATAACAGCCTCAGTCCACATACTGTGGTATTTCCACAGATAGAAGGAAGCTTTGGAGGGTTGATGAAGGTGGGTGGAGCCCGCTCCCAGACTTGAGATCAAAGGAAACCCAAGGGATTGAAGGACCCTCAGAAGTCAGTTAACTTGGGCTTCTCATGTTGCAGAATCAAGTGTGAGATGCGGTGAGAGGGGAGGACTTTGTTCAGTCCTGTGGTTTCCAGGCCACCAGAAATACAAATATATCTGTACTTCCTGACTTCTGAACACGGACTATAAACCGTAAAAGAAGTGTGAAGTCTTCCTATTTAAACCTTTTCTTCCAAATCTCCCCATACACTTGATTGTTAGCTGGCGATGAAACTGAGGAACAAGCAGGAAGAACGTGCAAATAGAAAACCTGACAACAGGCCCCAGGTCTAAGTGGATGACTTTTTATATGAAGGAACATTCATGTGTGTGACTTTAGATGCGTATATACCTTAAAGCCATGACAGTAATAAAAACATTTCTAGGGGTGCCTGGGTGGCTCAGTTGGTTGGTCGTCTGACTTCAGCTCTGGTCATGATCTCAGGTCATGATCTCAAGCCCTTCATAAGGCTCTGTGCTGACAGCTTGGAGCCTGGAACTTGCTTCGGATTCTGTGTCTTGCTCTCTCTCTGCCCTTCCCCCGCTCTCTCTCTCTCTCTCTCTCTCTCTCTCTCCCTGTCTCTTTCTCTCAAAAATAAATGAAGAAAACATTGGGGGAAAAAAAACATTTCTAGGTCGGTGCACCTGGGTGGCTCAGTCAGTTGAGCATCCAACTTTGGCTTGGGTCATGATCTCATAGTTTGTGAGTTTGAGCCCCTCATCAGGCTCTCTGCTGTCAGTGCAGGGCCCGCTTTGGATCCTATGTCCCCCCCACCCCCGCCTTCTCTGCCCTTCCCCCACTTGTGCTCTGTCTCTCTCAAAAATAAACATTAAAAATTTTTTTTCTATGTCTACAGGTGGAATTAAATGAATGATATCAAGAGCATGCTCTAAAGTTGCACAAACAAGTTGTGTCTTTCCACAGTGACAGCTTTATGCAGTCCTAAAGCAAGGTAATGTAATTGTCAAGGGGGTTCAGGATTCCAAACTCAGTGACATCGCACCATGTAATTAACTCAGCTTCTTATACAGCACGAAAAGCAGAACATAAGACAAGTCACGCGACAAACAAGATAACGGAGGGGCTAACAGACCAAACTTGAAGTCAGTCTGTGGGCGCACAATGGAGATAAGCCTCTGGCCAGTCTGAGTCAGCTCCCGGCCCTTACCGCCCATCACGCTCCAGCAAGGAAGGATCTCGGTTCTGTTCGGAAGTCCTTGGGCAGCCACTGCTTTCTTTTTAAGTGGTAAGACATAGAGGGGTCATGGCTGAAGCGTCTGACAGTTTGCTGCAAAAATCCTCCCTTTTTAAAGGGATTTAATCAGGCTTGGGCCCCTGCAGACCTCAGGGGTATCAGCTGATGCTGGTTTCTGCAACCCTGTAGCTGTACTGCCCTTAACTGCTTGTCTCACTGCTTGATACAGGCCTCTGCTTGACACGAGTGACTCCCTTGTTCTCTACACTTGGAATCAGACAGATGCATTTTATTTTAATTTTAAAAAAATTCACGGGGACGCTTGGTTGGCTCTGTTGGCTAAGCGTCCGGACTTCAGCTCAGGTCATGATCTCGCAGTTTGTGAGTTCAAGCCCCACATCAGGCTCTGTGCTGACAGGTTGGAGCCTGGAGACTGCTTAGATTCTGTGTCTTTCTTCCTCCCCTGCTTGCACTCACTCTCTCTCTCTCTCTCTCTCTCTCTTTCAAAAATAAATAAAGATTTTTTTCTAAATGTTTAAATGTTTTTTCAGATGTATTTTAAATCTGAGCTCTGCCACTGAAGCAGAAACTGTTAGTTGCCCCTAATATCCATCCTTCCTTCTGATATAGAACTAGATAGACCCTCCTATTCTATTAAATGTTTTGTTGGGAGAGAGATGGCGCTAGTGAGAGAGAAAGAGAGCTCTAGAGAATCCCACAAGGGACAGAGAGAGAGAAGCAGGGCTCATCCAGGGCTCGTGTTTTACCCGAAGCGGGGCTCATGCTCACCCCACGCGAGACTCTTGCATGTGAAGCTTGAGCTCGCGAACCGTGTGATCATGACCTGAGCCGAAGTCAGATGTTTAACAACTGAGCCACCCAGGCATCCTAAATTTATTTTTTCCAAAGGAACAAGACTCTGGGTCCAACATACACCGTTCAACACATAGCTCTGCTTTGCTGTGAGCCCATCAAAACACGGCTTCATCTAAATGTCACCACAGCCCCACCCTTCACTGGCATCCCAGGAAAATTCTATCCTACCCTTTGTTTGCTGAATCATCCCTGCGGGTGCTGAGGCCCTTCTCAAGCTGTGTCCTGCTACCTCTGGGAGCAAGTGTTGGCAACCATAGGTGCTGTAACAGCAATGGTAGAGGGACAAGGGAGACACCGTGGCAGAAACATAGGCCTCTGAGCGGGGGCTGGCAAACTTTTACCGTAAAGGGCCCGAGAGCAAACATTTTAGGCTTTGAGGGCCAGATGGACTCTTCTGTGACTCTGCTCAACTTCGCTCTGTGCTGCGAAAACAGCCATGGAGAATATGTAAAAAATGAGCGTGGCTGTGTTCCAATAAAACTTTATTTACAAAAATAGGCAAAGAATGGACTGGATCTGCCCCAGGATTCTTGGTTAGCCAACTCCTGCTTTGGAGTCACCCAGATCTGAGTTAGAATTCTGACTCTGTGACTGATTATCGATAGAAGCCCGGCAAGGCTTTCCTGAGCCCCAACGGCTCCATCTGTAAAATCAGAATAACGATACCTGCCCCCCCCCAAAGGTGTTAAAAAGGCTCTGAGATAACACACAAAGGGTGCTTTGCCCATAATAGGTATCGATAATAAGTAGATGTACTGCTACAAGTATGACAATTTAGAACCAGTTAAGTCTGCAAGGGCTAGATTAGTCAGGGAGGACTTCCTGTAGGAAGTCTTCTGGAGCTGAGTCCTGAAGAAAAGGCGGGAGATGGAGAGAAGAGCCGGAAGGGCACTCGACACTCGAGGATTATTATTAGTGCAAATGGTGGCCTGATCACACTTACTCCCCTCTCCCTCAGACCCTATGAACACAGAGTCTTCAGGTCTCTGTCTCCTCTGTTACAGAGCACTTCTCAAGGCCAGCAAGAGTCTAATCTTCCATGCATCTGCCCCAGGGCCTAGAACAGGGGCGAGACCGTCAATATAAATAACCAAAGCTAAGAAATAATTCCAGCAATAATGGCAATAGCAATTACTACCTATTGAATGATTTCTGCAGGCCCAACTCTGTTCCAGACGCTTCGAATATATTATTTCTAAGTGTACAAACTGAGGGCTGCTGGAGGGGGGTAGGGTAGGGGGATTGGTAGGGGGATGGGCTAAATGGGCGATGGGATTGAGGAGGGCGCTTGTTGGGATGAACACTGGGTGTTCTATGTAGGCGATGAATCACTAGATTCTACTCCTGAAATCATTATTACATGATGTTAACTAACTTGGATTTAAATAAAATTTAAAAATTGAAAAAAAAAACATAGAGGTACAACTGCCCTCTGAAACAGGTGATATTGTCATTTTACAGATGCCACCCATCAAGGGTAAATAATTTACCCAAGGACATATACTGGGTTGGGATAGGTCTCCAGAGCACTCTTTCTGGACCTCGAGATCATGACCCAAACCGAAGTCAGACCGCTTAACCGACTGAGCCACTCAGGCGCCCCCAAACTTACATTCTTTCTGGTATGAGGTGCCATCTTTTAAGAACAGACATGTCATGGACACTTAGAAGATGTTTAAGGAGTGGTGACCACCGTAATCTGGATTCTGTCTCCCCTGCCCATCCAAAGGTTGTCACTATAAAGAGATGGGCTCACCTTGCTCTGCCATGGACAGTGAGGAAAGACTAGACAAAAAGTGCCTTTTGATCCCTTTATGCACAGACCCCTCCCCCACCCCCTAAACAAGACCTTCCTCTTTCTAGAACATGGGCCTCATTTTCCCTCTTCTTACCTTGCCTTGGGATTATGGTGCAGCTCTGGTCTTTCCAGCTTCCTGGTGGTATAATTAGCTGATGTGGTTCCAGCAGTCTGTGCGAAGTGGGATTACACAAGTCTGAGGGGCTATGGTCATATCCGACTATCTGCATAGCTGACTGTTGCCTGACACAGCGAGGGCAAGGTTCAGCTTCTCTGGACATTCAGCTGTTACCAAAAGAAGTCTTACATACGTTTGTACCAAAATACAACTATAGGCTTGGATAGACTGCTGGATAGAAAATTCATCCTTGAGCATCTCAGTTTGACAAACCCCACTTCAGGTGGAGTCTATCCCCGGCCTCGTGGGGTTTTTGTGGCTTTGCTTGACCTGAAAACAAAAGTTCTCAGGGCACTTGGGTGGCTCGTTCGGTTAAGCCTCCCACTCCTGATTTCAGCTCAGGTCATGATCTCATGGTTGTGAGTTCAAGCCTCACATCAGGCTCTGCACTGACAGTGTGGAGCCTGCTTGGGATTCTCCCTCCCTCTCTCTCTGCCCCTCCCCCAATCACGATGTCTCTGTCTCTCTCAAAATGAATAAATAAACTTGAAAAAAAAAGAAAAAAAAAAAACTCCCTGGAGGTGTCCTGCATTTCTGCATTCAGACCCACGTATCACACTTGTTTCTAACTTTTTTTTAAATTTATTTTGAGAGACAGAGTGCAAGTGGGGAAGGAACAGAGAGGGAGAGAGAGAATCCCAAGCAGGCTCTGCACTGCCCAATGTGGGACTTGATCCCGTGAACTATGAGATCATGACCTGAGCCGAAATCAAGAGTTGGATGTTCAACTGACTGAGCCATCCAGACGCCCCTGTTTCTAACTCTTTTAAGTCAGGACAAAGAGAGGGAGTTTAAGTCAGAAAACCGGGAACTGAAAACCTCTCAGTTACTTCCATTCTCAAAAAAACACACCCATGTGAAATCTGGTTATCACTTCCAAATCACAGGACCCATTACATTTACCAGACCAGATCTCGATGCAGCGTGGTGTAAAGAAAAGGGGGGCTTTGGACGCAGACAGAACCACGTTCCCACCCTTGGCTCTGCCTTTTTATTCACTAAAAGATCTTTGGCAGTTCATTTCATCTCTCTGACGACAAGTTTTTCATTTGCAGAGTGAGGCGAATAATAATACCTAACATCCCAGGCTGTCGTGAGGATTAAACACAACACTACTTGACGAAATGAAAAGTCCCTAGGACAACAGCCGGCATACAGTCTGCACTCAACAAACGTGAGTCTCTTGTCTCTATCTTTTTATGTAGATACCGAGCATATAGGAATAGATCCTTATAAATAACAGTATCTGGGGGAAATGTCATCCAAATTTATTTGATGACTGTGGGTAGACAGGCAATCAAAGGACAGGCGCAAGAGGATTGATTATAAAGGTTCAGGCTCACTTGTCTCCTTTTGAGGGTCAGGGAAACAAAACAATTTTAAGTTAAACATCAGTCTCTACATACTAGTCATCAGAATCACCAAGACTGATATTACATCAGAGCCTATGTGAAACTCTTCCTCATCTGCAAAATGAGAGCTCTTATGGCGATTAAGTCTTTCAAAAGGTATGTCCGGTGGGTGCTCAAAAATGCTAGCTGAAATTATCACCATGGTGGTAATGATTGTTACTATTATTACACCGTGAGAGGCTTCAGTTTTCGGATCCTCAGGCTATGGGGACTTGTGTGAGGCCCTCGCCAAGATCCCTTCTAGCTTTGTTTCATTTCTTTACAGCCGTCACTCCCAGCAGCACATTAAAGATATGGGCAGTCCGAACCTGAGGCCCTACAGATGCCCTAGAATCCCTGCAACTTTGTGACCCTTATAAACACATTCCTTTGGCTTCACTCCTGGACACTCTGAACTTGCAGGTGTGGAGTCGGGGTGGAGCACGTATGTTCGCCCACTGTTTCCCACTCCTCTCTTGGGTCACTCCAGACCCTCTTGGTCTCGTGTGGCTCTGGTTCCAGCTCTGCATGGGCTCTAGACAACTTCACACAGGGGTAATCTGATGGTACCTCCCTTCTTGCCCCTACTGTGCCTCTCTCCTCTGCCCCAGGGCTTCCATATTGACAATGCCTGGGGGCTGTATGCACAGCCCTGAGGTGCCAGAGAGTTAAGCCCTGTGGAGTGAATCATCGGTCAATGGGAGATGAGAGCTGGTGGGTGCATTTATACAGGTTCTTGGGCACAACCCTACAGACCCAGCAGTGCTTCCCACTTGGTAGCAGCCCACTCAATAACACCATCTCACAT